TTATGAGCAGGTTTGGATGTGATGGTTGTGTGAGTGCGTGAAATTTGCGCGTTGCTTATAACACATAAACTGTCTTCAACAGTAGAGCCAATTTGCTGCTACCCTTTATACAGAAATTATATCTAATAAGAATAACATGAGAATAAAATAAAATAAAATAAAAAAATGATCATCCCACTTCAATATCAGGCTGAAGATATCGAAGTGGGATGATACCAGAACGGTGGCACAGCGCGGAATTGAACTCGCAGCTTCACGCATTCGGGGTATTAAATGCGTGAAGGTGCGAGTCGCTTATCCGTTGGGCTATAACACCATTGATACTGGGTGTGAATGTACGGGATTAAATGCCTGCCTAGAGGTCTAGGTGGGTAAGAGTTACGAGTCCGTTATGAGGAACGCAATGTAGGAGGATATCACGTAGAGTTCGCTTCAAGAATGGTACTCATATTATAGAGTGACGATAATAAGAAATGCGTAATATCTCCTGTTTCCTAATAGGTTCAGTTGCGGGGAGCTTGAGCCGATGGCGACAACAAACTGAAATCAAACGAAAGAGTCAAGTAGCGACCTAACAAGACGACTACCAAACGGTAAGTTGAATCGAACGTTCTATGAGACTTGACACGCAAAACTCACACCAAGGAAACATCGGAAGATTGAAGAATTACCTTCGAATCTTGAAACGAAGGCGGGAAATGCGCGACAAAGCCTCAGTGCTGCGAGAAAACCCAGGTGCGAGTAGCTTATCCATTGGGCTATATTACCAATAATTCTAGGTGCAATTGTACGGGGTGGCCCAGGTGGGCTGGCTGGATACAGTGGCCAGAAATTGAATTAGATAGAGGCCGAAAACTATCGAGGGCAGTTGTTTATGATTCAAATTCACTTATAGAGACCTGTTTTTGATAACAGAATTAAAGATACGTTGAGTTTAGGGGTTTGACTGAGAACAATATGTTTGAAGCTCAAACGGATGCTGACGCACGATACTATTTGAGCCAAAATGCCCGACATCTCGTAATCGGCCTTCATACTTGAAATTAATGTCCCACAGCTGCCAATGCTATACGATCACATGTAGAAAAACGAACATGAGGCGTTGATGTCAAAGATAATCACAATCGCAGTGAATCTCTTTGATTCCACACCACAACTACTCGTTCCACCTCGCAGAGAAACTTGACCATGTCTGAATATGTAAAGCTCAAACCGGACTTGAGCAACTGGACCATCTATGCCGATATGTTCAAGGCCCGCTTGAACCGTAGTGAATGGGGTGACCACCTCGACCCTCGCTCACCTACATACCTTCCTCCACCTGGCCGTCCCGGTACATCACAGCAAGAAATATATAAAACTTACATGCGAATAGAAGGGGATGCAACAATAATGTTGTCCAACTCCGTCCCTGCATCTGTCTACAGCCAAATAGCTGGAGAAGAAACGCTTCTTAAGAAATGGGAGAAGCTGAAGGAGTTACATGAAGCTAAATCCCAGCGGCAGGCTATTTCTAGCGCTATTGCAGACGATGAAGATCAGATGGCTGAAATTGATGAAGCAGAAGAGGCGTCCATCTCTCCTTATACGGAGAAATCCATCATTATCGACTATCTCAAACACTCTAAATATACCCCTGCTATGTCGGTCCTCTCCCACTTGACCCACCTCAAAGTCTTGAGAGAGGGTCTAATCAACAGAAGGAGAGTCTTATCGGATAGCGACTTTCTGGAATACGTCAGGGACTCATTCCCCCCTGGATCTCAATATCAGAAATACCTCAAGGCGGTAACGACGAGAACGCAGGGGCGAGAAGATGACGATGGGCCTCAAGGTGGAGATCAGAGGCCAAAGCTCAACGAGGTTTTTGGGATTCTCGTGGAACTAGAGAAGCAAGAGAAGCCTGAGCCTGAGGCTCAGGCCCTCAAACGGAGGAAATTTACAGACAAATTCTAATCCCAAGCGATGTTGTAGTCGGCTAAGAATACTATGATCCCATTGAATATACTAGTATCCGAGCTGTGTGCTCTAGAGTTGTACACTCATACGATTGAATACAACTTTACGTCGACGGGACTGAGTAAAGGTTATCAAAGAGAATTGGCAATGAATCATGAGTACTGATTGTGAGTGGGGTGTTAAGGTCATCGAACCTTTTCGGTTGGTCTCTCAAATTTCGGCAAGCGAAAGAGTTGCGATGTTACAGGGCCTGCTACCTGGCGGTGGGTTTCGTTTCTTAATATGCGGTTGAGTCACAGCTTTAGCGAAACTCCCTGACAAGACAACAGGAAAAACTAATATAACAGTTAGTATCCGATGTGATGCATGTGATGTATGTGATGTGCTTTTCAGTTGTGTGGATACGCACTGTGAGATACGCCATTACAAGACAGACGTCAATGCTTCACATGCACAGCCCATATTCACTCCACGTGTCGTGACAAAGAACATGAGCTCTGGTATCACAAGTTATCATGATTTCTGCCGCTACCACACCCTTACTTACACACTCATCAACGCTTAACCCCTGGGTAGAAACCCATCTTCGACGTTAACTCGACATGCTCGTTAAGCTCAAAGCAGACTGGAGCAACTGGGAACTGTACAAAGACGCGACCAGCGCTTACCTGAAATCGAAGGGCCTAGGACCTCACATCGATAATCGCTTGATGGGCAACCCTCCCCTGAGTGGTATCCAGGACCCAGAAATGCGAGCTGCTCTATTGGATTACATGAAAAACGAAGGGCTTGGAACAGTCATACTGTTCGAGTCCCTCCCGTCGTCTATATACACGCAGCTGACGGGACAAGATTCCCTCCTGAAAAAATGGGAGGCCCTGCAGAAGTTGCACAGGGTGCACAAATCGGAGGCCCTGCAGAAGGGGGCGGATTCACTCCTCAAAGCGGTACTGCCGGGTCAAACACCCGTTCAATATGGAGATGGGGCGACGCGTTCTTATACGGAAGAACAGTCCCTGATTATCGGCGATCTCAAAGACTTGAAATACAACTTACAAAAGTCCATGCTTTCCCACTTGATCCACTTCACAGTCTTAAGAGAAGGGCTGCTCAACAGAGATCTTGTCATCTCCGATTACGAGTTCCTCGGATACATCAGAGAATCATTTCCCAACACATCTCATTACCACTACTACGTGAAGGCAGTGACTGCGAGAATGCAAGGTGGACAAGGTGATACCAGTCGCGGTGGGCATGAGAGTGGAAATCAGAGGTCTAGGGTCGATGAGGTGTTTGAAATGCTGGTGGAGATCGAGAAACTAGTGAAGGAGGAGGCAGCCAGGGTCGCACCCTTTAACAATTACTACTAATCCCTGTTTATCCACATCAGCAGCCTTCAATAAAGACCATAATACCAAGCACATTTAAAAATGACCTGTGACAGATTACCAGCCCTGCTCCGCGAAAACGGCTGGGAAGAATGATGAAGGAGCCCGACATCCATTCAACAGATAATGTCAAAAAAGTCTTTCCTTGTGCTGATTCTTGTAACAACTTTGACGGCTGGAAGCTGACACAGGAGACTTTGTCATATCATTCTGCAGTCTGCTGTCCTAATACAATACAATCACTCACGTGGATCTGACATCGACCTTATTTAAATTTTAATCCCACTGATTTTTTTTTAGCTTTTTATCGCTCGAACGAACTAACATAGTCGAACTAGCCTCTCATCCTTCTTTAGTTACGCATCCATCGCCTCAAATTCTCATACTGCAATTTTTAAATATCGATTATCATGATCAAACTTGATGAAGACTGGGGTAATTGGACAACGTACAGGGAGCTCACTGTTGCTCGCTTCTACTCTGAGGGCCTCGACCGTCGACGAGCATCTCTACTCATGGGGCATTCCCAATTTCTGGACACATATTCTGCCCAAAGAGCCACCTTATAAATTCTACAAGGGAGAATGGTATTCTTCTGAGGACATGTACTTCACCAAGCCTGTACCCTATAGCAAGCATGTCAACCCGCACACCCGTGCATACGCCGAGGCGCAAAACAAAGCAACATTAACCTTTTTTGAAAGTCTTCCCAGACCTCGCTACGATATCAGAATCGGCAACGCGACACATTAGGAGAGAAGTGGGCCGCCTTAGAGGAGCTCTACAAGCAACGAGAGCAGAGGGTCGCTGAGAACGAGAGTGGGATCTCCGGGAGACTCAGTAGAAGAAGACGTGGCTGACAGCGAATCGGTCCCGACACTTGGCGAAGCAGTTAAAATCGACGACCGTTTGCTAAAGGAGCAGGAAGGTCTGTTCAAGATGCTCACGTCAGCGACATACAATCGCAAAAACAGCGACCTTCCCGCGCATCTCGCTTACATGAAGGTGATTCGCGACGGTCTAAAGCAATACCAGATTTCAGACGGGGACTTCAATTGCTACATCCTCGATTCCCTTGTCGTTTCCAATGCAGAGCACGACGTGTGGCAGTGCAGAATGCACGTGAGTACAGAACGACGACAAGACCTTGATGCTATGATAGCCAAACCCGCAACCAACGTCGACACTGGACAGCGAGCAGAGAAAGTAGACGAGTATGTAGAGAGAAGGAAAAGGAGACGAGCAAAGAGAGATAGGGGAATAGAACATAGATTAGATTAAACTAGATACGGTGATGTACATTACGAGGAGACTCGGCTCAGGGTTGAAACACAACTCCTTGCCTCACCACCTCGCGCCGTCTGCCTGAAGGAAGATCGGACGTCTCCAGCGGCCGAGCTTGGGAGATTGATTGTATTTTTTAATTTTGGGGCAAAGAAACAAGGGAAACCCCATGCTGACCCGAAAGAGGTGACGGAATCTCTAGTTGATTACGAGGATGCTATGGAAGAGCTACGAAGGAGGTAACGGTGTAATATCGAAAATTGTATTAAACGAAATGTGTATATCATGCAAATTCAACCTATTTGACGAATAAATAATTCATAGTTCTTGTTGTTAACCATCTTGGGCAGTGCAAAAGGAACGATTACTTGGTACAGCCCGGGGTCGAACCGGGGACCTTCTGTGTTCGCCAATTGGGCTCAATGTGAGACAGAAATCATAACCACTAGACCACTGAACCGATGAAAGATTCCGCCTTCGTACCTTCGAGGCCTGTGGATGGTATAGTGAGATTGCAACGCAGACCGACTCGGACTTTGCAGGTAAACGAAGGCTCAGAATGCTGGAGCGTGAAAGGTCGATTATACAAAGCATTCGAGCGCCCAAGCTTATAGGATACGGTGCCATCGTGTCATTTCCAAAAGGGTGTCGTACCTGAGAGAACATATTAAATGAAAATAATGGAGAAATGCATGTCAATAACTGACCGAATCAAAAACATTCGAGAATATAACACAAGATTTCCTCGTTGCTATACACAACCTCCAATTCTCTGATGACACGATCCGAGGCCAGTGTTTCTCTCAAGAACCCAGTGTAAGTTCTGTGTAACCAGTTTAGCGAGTGGGTTGGTGGCCCAGGGATAGTATCTGCGGGAGTAACAGCGACAGCTTGTGTGAGATATTTTAAGAAATGAGATTCTCAAAGGTTTCGCTCACCAGAGACGTTCCGGGAACATAAAATCACCAGCTCTTCACTCAATTTGTATATTAACTCCCTCGCATCGCGCTTGGCTGTTTCACGCTGCAGGTAGAGCGACATTGCGCCCCAGTCCATGACATCACCTCGACACCATAGTGTGGCAGCACAAGGCTGGCCCTTGGATTCTGGTCCCTCTGCCGGCCACTTAGTGAGAGCTTTCCTGAAGATGGGCAGGGCGATTGGAAGCAGCGAGGGGTGCTATCAACAGAAGTCTGGTTTGATGTCAACCTGGCGAGGACAGGATATACAAAGAAGTCAGTATGATGGACAAGTTTTGAGACGCCACTGTCGGCTTTCTAAGTCCATGCACGAGAGAAAGGGCGTACCATCGTTGCGGATTGGGCTAAACGTGTTGCAGTCTACCCTTGGGGCAGCATCACAATCGATTCGCATTGGCACACCCCCAACCTCGCTTCTCTCCATGAAGCTCGGCTAGAGCAAGCAGAGGGGATCTTGCGTCTTCGGTCGCTCGTCACCGGGGGATGTAGGTAGCCTAGAGGCTACGCTTGGGGGTGGAAAGAGGACAATGGCCCGAAAACCACTGCCCCACTTCCCAGGTCGAGAGCCGATGGACGGAGGAGGATGCGCCCCCAAAGCGAGCGCACCTGCCCAGCCGATGACGACCATCGGCTCGCCCCAACGGCGGTGGCGAGAAGCGTAAATAAGTAAATATGTGACTGGTGAATAGAAAACGAGTGGATGTGGGAAGATAGGTATCGCCGAGGTAAAGGTTAAGGTGAAATCACAAGGTTCAGCAGTGAAGGCGAAAACGGTGCAACAGAGAACTGGGGTGTGGTTCTTATCAAATACTTAACATTTGATCTCCAATCAGATTGGAGCCTGGTGACCTAGTGAGGATTTTCGACAGTAGATGCAGGATTTGTGAGTGAATCGGGAGCTGGAAAGGCAAAGGGCATGCATTGAGAGCTATAACAATGGATGAGCGTCATGATTTATGACCAATGGCTACTTAGGTTTCGGGAGGAGCAGTGGTTGTGTGTATTGAGTTGATTCCTCTGCAACGTAGGGGATAGAAAATAGGTTAGGATTATATGGGAAATACTAACGTTAGCTAAAGGTAGTAGGTATGTCATGGGGTAAGCTCTAACTTGTAGCGAAAGGAAAGGATTCGATTCTCGTCAAGAGATATTGAATCCATACGCTGACAGAATTAGTACAATTCGAGAACAAAAGGGGGGGTGCCATGTGAATGTGTACCAAAAATAACATGAGTGGTGCTAAACCATGCGTGAGGTGCACTATGCCAATATGATGGCTGTAAAGCCATGCCTGAGGTGAATTAGGCCGATGTAGGGGAGGGGCATGAAGCTGATGTAGGGGGCGGTTAAGCCAATGTAAGGGGCATGAAGCCGATGTAGGGGGCGATTACGCCTGGGGGCACGTAGGCCAATGTAGGGGGTGGTTAAGCCTGGGGGCACGTCTGCCAATGTAGGGGGCAGTTAAGCCGAAGGGCACGTCTGCCAAAACAAAGGGCACAGCTGTCGTGCAAGACGTATTAACTCACGCAGAGGACACCATGACCAAGTTTGATTACTTGGCTTTAGGCCAATATGAATAGTGTTGAGCTAGCACAGGTAGTCTAGACACCATGCAGAGAACGAAAGAACGTCATGCAGAGGGTGCTGCAACCAAGGAGGGGGTGTTGAACCCAAGACATAGACGGATACCATGACAGCACGGATACAGGGAACCAGGAGCCTCCTGGGTATCCGAGGGACATGGGTGTGAAGCGAGTGGCGGAGATGTCAAGGAAAGGGATAAGGAGTGAGGGAGAGCATACCAACACCGTAGTCTCATACGGTGTGGGCTCTGATACTATTGAAATTTGGCCAGCGCAGCGGAAAAAATGAGGGATAAGTTGTGACTCACTAAGAAAGGGACAGGTGATCGGTGGTGCGCGGTTGTTGGCGTATGCACGAGATTTCATGTTGAAGTGAGGATTGCGGTAACCATAAGTTATCAGATGTTGTGTATAGACTGATGGTGTTTGAAGGATTAGGTTTAGTGAGTGGTTGGTGAGTGCATCTGTGTCGGAATTGGATACAACCCTCTGGACGGAAATTCTCGGCGTTGGGGATCTGGTACTCGTTTAGGGGTGTCAGAGAGCATGCAGGTTGCAGTTAGTTGCTGTACAGCGTATATACACGCGAGACTGGAAACGGACGCGAGTGATCAGTGTAATCAGAATGAATAATCTACTCATCTGGTGTAAATTGTTCTCGATATTACAGCGACAGCTTTGAGATGACTTGTGGTTGTGAGCGATTCTCCGGGGGGTCGTGGTGATGAGCTGGCAGATTGAAATGAAAGTCTCCCATAAATCCTGATAAGTTGTAGTGTATGTTGATAGTGATATTGAAAGGAGAATAAGGAGAATAAAAATACTGAGCCGAGCGACAAATTGTCGCGTCGACTAGGGAGCGAGGCGAAGTAATACTAATGTATGAGGAGGGAAGTGCAGATCGAGTTGTCAAGGGCTGACTCGCTCACGTGACCAAGAAGGTCGATCTGTGTGCGTGCACACAGATCGCTCCATTATACTGATGTAGGAGGAGGTTGTGGATGTATCATGGCTTGTTCTCCGTGGCTTGTTATCATGTCCTTTGATCATTGTCGGAGCAGATGATGGCATCCGACATTCATGTGGTGAATTGTATGAAGAACGATGAAACGTTGACGCCGATCTTTGTTCTTGGATGCCTCTACACGAATATGGACTATACTTTGACAGCGATGACATGAAGTGAGTTCCGAGTCGCAGAGCTACCTTAACTGTAATATGGTTTCAAGGTCGAGTTGGTGCGATCCCAGAGTGCGCATCTGCTCCAGTGTTTTTCCACGCATCTCCCTTGCAGAAAGCCCCACGCTGTGTAGAATCTTAGATTAAGCCATCCATCGGCCTTATGGTCTAGTCGTATGATTCCTCCTTTGGGTTGTTAAACTGATTGGAGGAGGTCCTGGGTTCAATTCCCAGTGAGGCCCTTTTTGCTATCCTCCCCTTGATTTTGGTTATACAACATATTGTTGGGGTTTGGTCCAGGGTTCAACATATGAAGTATTTATATATCACTTAAATTTTGTATCAGTATCGGTTCCATTGATCCTGCATGGCAGGGACCACTTGGAGTAGAAAATGTTATATCGGGCCCAATAGACTGGATTGATTCGTAAGGCAGAGGCACCTGTGTTCGAAAAGTACGTGAAAAAATAATTATGCTTTATATATAACAAATGATTAGTTTCGAAACAGGGTAAATACATGATGAGAGTTGTAGATGTGCGAAGCAAGAGTCAGAATACATGCGATCATCTAAGAGGAGAAACAAAAACTACACAGAACTACATCTGGGTTAATAAATTAAATTATACTATGAACTAACTTTGGAGGAAATAAATATGAGTCGTGTCCGCGATACTGGAATTTAGAACCCTGTCCAACTATAAACGATGATATCTATGACCAGCATTCTTTCTGGTGCTTCTTCTTATCACGACACAAAACTTGCTTGTGGCATTTGCCACAAAGGTCCCTGGCCTCTGGCACATGTGTCATGACGTGGTTCATAATACTGCAAAGGCTGGAATTCGCCTGGCAATTGCCCCATTTGCAATCCATTCTTTTCTTGTCCCGATTTCCTTTCGACGAAGATATACTATGGGCCTTCAAGTGTGTACGCAAGGAAGCGATTGAGGTGTGCGGCGTCAAAAATTGGTCACAATCCTGCCATTGGCAGTAAACCTGCAAGTCTTGTGGGGACCTCCACGAAGGTATGGGGTGAGAGAGGTCTGATGCAGGCGACGCGACTGGGGTGTTGTTCGCCCCAGATTCTGATGGAGCGGCTTCATGATAAATAGCAGGAGTGGACGGATAAGAGTTTTCGAGCTGCCCGCCGTTTAGCTGTTGCGGGTAAGGGTGTTGAAGCTGGACGCTGTCTAGCTGTGGCGAAGGCAACGGCAAAGTCCCCATGCTGTGGAGGGTATGACAATATTAGTCGATCAACTTCGATGAACACAATGATCATGCACGTACCGTACGTGATTCTCGTTTAAAAAGAATCTTTCGTCTGAATAGTATTCCGCCGGTTGGTGGGCTGGAGCAGGGTTGGTAACTGGCTCGGCAGCCCAGTTGGGGGGGGCCTGGAAGAAGAAGGCAGGAAGATCTTCTTCAGGAGGAGTGAGGGATCGACGACGACGTTTCCTGGATTGGCTGTCTCGGCCCCCAGAGCTTGATGAGGCCTGGTAAGCGGAGGTTATGTTGAACGTATTGGACATGTCGCTTAATGGCAGTCTTGAGGGAATCAAAGGCCTAATGGTGTCAGGTAAACTGTCAGACACACGAAGGAAAGCAGTAGAAGCAAGCCTACACATACGTGTTTGGCTCGGTCTCGAGCGCACCCTGTACCTCCCCAAAAGCCTCTGATTGCGACAACCCCTGGCTTATGGTTTCTTCTTCGCTGT